TAAGAATGATACCATCGAAGCGCAATCTAAATTAATTATACTTGCGAGTTATAAGTTAATATTTATATTTATAAATGCAAGTAAAACATTTTAAAAATAAAAATAAAAACCTCTTCGTAATATTACACAAAATTTAATTATTTATAATAAACTAATTGAGCTGTAAATTAATTCCTATCCTTTATTTAATATTTAAAAATTCTCAATTAAATATTAATTTATTAACTTTAATTTGCACCAAATAATTTCTATAAATATATTATTATACTATATTATGCATTATATAATAATATAGAATATTAATACTTTATGCATTTTATCAAATAAATTAGAATAATAAGATTATTCTTGTAGAGTTAAACTGATTTAGAATGAAGTTGATTTCCCTTAGAGGCTGATAACCTGTTATGAAATTTTATAAAAGGTTTTTTTTGTGTTTAATATTAAAATTTGGCAAACAAAATTACCTGCGGATAAACACAATTTTAATTCTTTATTAAAATATTGTAATAAATTATTTAATCACTTATTTAATATTGTGAAGAAAATATTAAATTTTTATGAATAATCTATTGTAATAAAAATTGATCTAAAGACTTGACGTCATTTAAAAAAAAAAAAACATTCACGGCTAAATGAATAGTTAAATTACAAAATGAGAATTAAATCAATAAATTATTATTAAATTTTTATTTAAATTTCGTTTATATTGATTTTTCTACAAGAATCGAAACGATAGATAATTGTGATTTCATTCATTACTTACCACCGCCATTTTGAAAAATAATATTAAGTCGTAACGATGTTTCATTTTCATTACAAGATACATTACATCATAATATTCAACAATAATTTTCCAGAAATCATCTAAAATCCTTTATCATTAAATCGTATTTTAATTATTAAATAAATAGAATATTTTAAGGAATAATCCGAAAAAAATGAAGCGTAAGTTAAATATCTTCATTAGCAATCTTAAAGTAATTGTTTGCGTTATCTTATCGGATAGTATTTAAGATAAAAAGTCCCATTTTATGGATTTACACTTAGGAATTTACTTAATCCAAAAATTTTAGCGAAACAATCTGAATCATGAAGTAATGAAGGGTGTGGCTCGTTCTGATATTGTTAAATATCTTCAATAATTGCCGTATTGTCTTCCATATTTTGAAAAAAAAAGGGTATTTAAAAATTGTAGAACCATAAAATAACAATTACTTTTAAATAATTTCTAAAGTACACGTCTACAATTTTATAATTTACGTTATAACAATAATTATTTATGAATTTCTAATTAACAGCATCATAAATTTGATTTATTCTGAATTATAATCGAAATCTTTTTTAAAAAATATTCTTCCTGCCTCTTTTTCTTATTTAAATAATTTTGAAGAAATTAGCGTAATTACTCGGAACATTTTTATTGCTGAGAGTTGCGCCTTTCTCTAATGTATCTCTAATCGAAAGCATAGAAAATTATAAGAAAAGAGTGGCAGAAATTAAAATTAGACTTATGTTACATTAAGGTTTTATAAATAATCTGAATATTTTGTAATATTTTTAAACAATTCCAGCAAGCTTTATAAATCAGAAGAACGTAATTCTCCTATTTCAATTTTATAAAAGATAAGAACGAATTATACGATTTTTGCCATTAATCTGATAATATTTGGGAGAAGAAATACAATTTGTAAAGAGAAAGTATATAATTTCATGACTAGTTTAATCAATATGTGATACACGAATTAAGATCAACCAGATAAATATAAGGTTCTTGTAATTTTAAAATGGAGTTAAAGCGTAATAACCGCTTATATAAGAACAGCGTATAAACAAATTACACAAAATTCATTAAATTTAATCATTTTTTTTCAATTATTAAACTTTGATACTTTCCACGTTACTTATACATTGATGTAACTGTATAGGCTATGCTTTATGTCATATACAGTACTAACTTTAAATGCATATATTTACTATTTTTAATTGTATTTAAGATTTTATCTAATGAAAATTGGAAACATTTTCAATTGAAATACACTTGTCATTAATTAAATGAGGAAATTCCAAACTCCAGTTGCAATCTAATGTTTAGTTAATTTATAAGACATTCATCCTTAGATTTAATCAGTTTTATAATTTAATAAAGTCATCTTTAAAATTATTCATTAATTTTATAATAATATTCTAACGCTAGTTGTATATATGTATNTTTGTGTGTATATATATATATATATATAAGTTATATTTTAAAATTACTTTTTTATATAGGAATTTTTTATAAAAGAAAAAAAAATGATGATAAATTCAACATCGCACATTTTCGTAGTTTTAACGATTTTACATCTAAAGATATCAAAATATTTTTAAACTGGCGAATTTATTCTTAACTTAAATCGCTGTAATAAAAAATAAGAAAATAAATTATATTAACAGAAAATTTTTACCAAGTAAAGTTTCGATTTATTTTCTCTGCCATACTTTTTATTCCATTATCTTATAGTTTTATAGCCTATTAAAATGCCAAAGTGTATTTTTTACTTGTAAATTTCAAAATATAAACTGACGGACAATCAACGAAGTTTCGTAAAAATTTAATTAAATGCCACTAGCTAAATAATTTTTAGAATTTTTTCTTCATTTGTAAATTTACTAATTAGTATAAAAGAAGCATTATACAATAATTTTAATCAAATAACTTTCTATGATCGCATATCATTCGCAATTTTTTTTGAAAGCGATTCTTCATTTATTGTAGTAGATTTTGTTGATAACAAATATTTATAAAATAATAATAGAAAAATCCATTATTATTTCAAAAGCTTAACATTATTGTATTTATTTCCTAATGTCACCGTCTTGCGCGTTATTTTATTTTCCTTTCTCTCATCAGTTATTTAAATTAATTTAGTATGAAAAAAATTTTTTATGATATCACGTACATTAATAATTTCAATAATAACTATAGCAAATAAAAAAAATTATATTTTCACTGAGTAAACAAATAACAATAGGAAATGTTTTACAGTATTTTTAACATTAATAAAAAAAGGAGAAGAACTGAAATGTTTTGTTTAGTATATCTCTTGTGTATGAATCAATTCATTGCGATTCAAAATAAACAGACAATTAAATATCCTCTGTCAGCGTTGGAAAATTTAATATTCTAAATTTTAAGTGAATATTTTCTTTAAAATTTATAAAATTTTCAAAATTATACATTAATAACAAGCCGTAAGAATTTCCTGAATTTTTAATAAAGAGGCTTTAATACTTTTCAATCTTCCGTAATGCATTATTAATCTAGCAGCACTATTAGATCTCAGGCGAAGTTTTATATTTATAAGGAGGAAGACACTTAATTTACGAGTTGTTTAAAACATCTCGGTTCAAATGGAGTTATTGTTATCATTAGACGAATCTTGCCTTGTAATATGCCGATTACAAGAGAAAGGTGGTGTTTAAACGGCTTCTGTTAACAATAGTAACTGTTTATTTAATGACTGAATATATTTCGATAAAGATTTATCACGATTGGTTGGACAGAAATAATTATTTCCCGAAATTAACCACCGTGAAACTTTTAGAAACACAGAAATGTATCGAACGTAATGAAGTAAAAGCCAAAGAATTTCCGACGAGTCATAACAAAGGCTCTCCATAAGAGGGAAATGTCGCTTCTTGAATACATTGTAAATAATATATAAGCTAGAGTGCAACAAAAAATATTCCTAACGTCACCTTTGGTAACACATGGTAGCATAAAGAAGAAGCCAACTAGGCCTATTGGAGGAAAATATTGAAACGTCGGCACATTTTCTTTCTTCGTATATTCCATCTTCACTTTGAGCTCGAAACGAAGAGAAATCTCCAGGGAAATAGTTTCGAAAACTTGCAGAATCTGCAGCTCGGCATCTTTCATGCCATGCCGCAAGTAGCTAAGTTTCACTAAGCATGCATTGTCTTCTATTTAGAACCATTTCGTTATTAGATGCCTCCCAGTGTACTGCCTATTGATTTTTTATGTTCCACGGTGTTTTGTATTCTACAGGTATTATACAGTACATCAAATAAATCAAAGAAGAATGAAGAGAAAATGCCAAACTATGCGCCCGGAGACAGACTGCTATCGGAATTGCGAAAGAAAACTTCACGCGAATTATACAAATTACACAAGAATGAAAATATTAAAAATTCATGCTTTGTCAGAATATAACTTGCCATTTGTGGAATAACAATGGGATAAACCGTCTAAAATCAAATATGGGAGGCTCTATCGTGATATCAATCTGTGCAAACATTATTTATTCTTTCTGGCTGCACAGGTCTTCAAGTGTTTTTAAACTATGTCATGGAAACACCGTGAATATATCGAATTGATTATATTCATATCTGAAAAATATACAAACAATCTTCTTTTTCGCTGTAACATGTTTTCAAAATATTCTCCATTTCAATATTAATTATAAAAACACTAATACAACATTATCCTCAACTTTAGCGCTTAATATTAGCCTAATTACGATTAAAATACTATAAAAATAATAGAATTATAATAAAAATTAATTTTTATAATTTTTGTCTTTTCCCAGTTTCTTCCTTTATAGTACAGTATTGTAGAAATAATATATGTATATATATATATAGCTTAATTAAAATAAATGATACAATCTAAATTAGCTATTTAAATTATTAAATAAGCCAAAATAATTTTTAAATGATATTATAATAAAAAGCATCAAGCAGAAAACTATATGATACTAGATATAAACTTATACACGGCTCTAGACGAGTCTATATTCTGTTATTGATTTAATTACAGATAATTAAAAGCATCCTAATTAAAGCAAGTAATGAGCAAGATATTATAATTATTTTATTTTATTATTTTTACAGCAAATATAGCTTAGCATAACCAATTTAAATTTAATAGAGACATAAACTTACCATTTCACCGAATTTTATTTAATTTCTAGATATAAATAATATTATTAACTTACCAGATATTCCGTCATAAGTCCACCATTCTTCCCAGCTAGCTTCGCCTCCTAAATAAAACATAAATATATAAATTTTAACAAGAAAAGAAAGATAATCTGGATAATAAATTCCAGACAAAATTATCCGTTGATGCATACTTGCTAAGCGTATCAAGCATACTTTTACTAGATATTTTTTTTTATATTTAGGAAAATATAGAGCTTCGTTTTATCTAATTACATTATCTATGCACATAAAACTAGAAATTAGCCTATATCTACAGCAGCAATCGATATAAAGCGGCTCGGCTTATACTATATACTTATATAGAAGAGAACCGACAAAGTTGGGAGAAAAAAAAGGAACCATTAAGACAGAATTAATCACTTAAATATTCAAGTAATTTTACTTCAAAAATAATAATTACTTTAAACATCGGTTTTTTTACATCCAACATTTTGAAAGGGAATAAAAATTATTAGGTGGATGACGTTATTAGAAAGATAATTTCAGAATTACAACAAACGAACTTCACTTTTTAGAAAAACTTCCGTAATTAATAAGTGATTATGTTGAGACAATAAACAGTTGTATAATTAAGTAATTATGTATAATTTGTGTAAGTCAAATTAAAATTACAAATAAGTTAATCGTCGAAGAAATTAAATTGTTTCAATCAGTAGGAAAAGGGAGGTAAAAAATTAAGTTAGGGAAATTAAACTAATTAAGATATAATTTAGGTATTGTAGTTCAGACTCCGAAAAGGGCGGGTCGAATAAAGACATTAGCACTCGATTTAAAAGGTAGAAAACTGAGTCTGAAGAAATTGTTTAAAGAAAAGGGAGAAAAAACAGTTTTATACTATCAATTCCTGAAATTAAAATAAATAAATAAATATTTCACCACCATACATAGACACGTGTCGTTACGATGCATATATTCTCGCTTCATACATAATACATACTAACAAATATTTTTCATTCGAGAAGTGAATACTAAAAATCCCGGAATTTAAGATAGAAAACATTTTTTTTTTTTCATTAAAAAAAAGCAGGATTTTTCATAAGAAAAAGTCAATAACGCATTAATTTCTCCGGTACTAAACAATTTGTCGAGATATGTGACATGCAATAAAATGCGTCAAGCATTCTGTCAGGAGAAACAGGAAAATTGAAATCCGAAGACTAAATTTATCACAAATTACAATTCCCATTTTCGTTTCACTTTGAAAATGATTTTCAGGCAAAATTCAAATTTGTTATTGAAATTAGCCAATATAGTATCTGTGATTTTCTATTGATAACTCTTACTACTGCATTGCTTCGTATATTTATAGTACGGCGTAAATAGTAAATGATCTAGAACACGCTACCGGATAAATATAAATTTTAAAAATATAACGACGTTAAATTTTATTTTAACAATATATTACACGCCATTTTAAAATATTCCACTATAATTTACAATATTAAATTTTGTCTGAATACAGAAAAATGATGCTTCTTTTTTTTTTTTAAAGAATTTTTAAATAAATAATCCCGCGCAAAATGATAGCGATATCTACGTGACATGTCATTAAATGGAACTCTGTCTCTAGTAGAGAAACTAATTAGAAATGCTGAAGATAGGATCATTGAGTTAAAACTAGGTTGATAAAATGACATATCAATAAGGAAGACAGGACAAAATTTCTGGATCGTTTCCTTACTCACTCGGTTGTGAAACACCAAGGAAATGTTTGCAGACAGTAAAAAAAAAATTAATGCTTATACCTGATGACATTAATAGAGAAATGTGTAGGGCAGCTTGATTTTTTTTAAATTATTACTAAAGATCGTTCTTACGTCTTGATTTTTTTTAGTAAAAAATAATTTAATTTCATTAAAGTTGTTCTCATTTTTTTCCCTGTAATGTATTATTTCCGATTAAGTGTAACTACGAAAAATCGAAGTCTCCTACTGGAAATCAAAACAGATGAAAGATATAGGAAGGAAAATGTGACCGGAATTAATAACATCTTAGAGGTAACCAAATTGATCCCTCGGGGATAAAGATCTGACCACTGAATAAGATTAATACCGGCAACCTATGAAATTAACTTTTATTTATTTAACAATAAGTAAAACACAAAAAAATTACAATATTTTGTATTTTTTTAAAGAGAAATTTACCTTTGAAGAAGCAGCCGTAAAATATTGATTGCACCCAAATGATCTAAGAATAATCTTCATGGATGCATGATTTTAAGTAAACTCTCTCTCTCTCTCTTTTTTTTTTTTTTTAATACTCGCTAATACTTTTTTACTGGAAGATTTAGAAACTTCTCTTTATGGTATTATATTTTATTTTTATAGAAAATATTATATTTTTGAAGAAATGGGAAGTTTTTTGAAATGATAAATGCGATCGTAAGCTGGAAAACGATCATTTCAAAGGTTTTCATACCTGAGAAAACTATTGTTTCTTTCGTTATGAATCCATATAAAGAGAGTCTTATAAAATTATAATATATCGAAAGATTAACAGAAAATTCCCATTAATTTTGAAGATAATTGGCCATTAAACCATTATCGAATTACTTCTGCTTAATTATATCCTTAAATCTGTATTTCTACATAATTTAATAGAAAATTATTTAAGTATTCAAAGCAGCATTTCACAACATCACGTAATCAGGAATTGCAGTTATTTATTTATATTTTAAACGAAAATTTTATTTTTCGGGGTTCGCATAACATTAAAAACAAACTTTAGAATAACAATTTATACGTTAAAAATATAATTAGAGAAGGCAAAAATACAAATTAGCAATAATATACATACGCAGGCCTATGAATATACAATGAAACAGGTTCATATTTTTTAATAATTTTACAATATTTTACATTTATTAAAATTATTTATCAAAGACTTTTATTTTTGAAGTATGACTTACAGATAATGATTATAAAGAAAATACATAGATGCAAAGCTTACAATAAAAACAGATGATGATTCTTAGAGCAAAAATTCTCATCTTGATGTTTTATCAATAGCGAACGAAGGAGAGCAACGGTATGTGGCAGATTGCAACGGTTCCATGCTGGAATTGCCATAATTTTAATCGCAGATCATTTAAATATGAGTGGTGTAGAGGGTGAATTATTTATAACCCGCGTACATCTTGTAAACTTTACAATAGAGTACTAGTGGTATAGCCGCAAATTACTCCACGAAGAATTATTGCAGCTGCAGTAATTGCAAATAATCAATTGTGGCTCCCAGTAATTGAGAAAGTTTATTAGTAAAATTCCACGAAAAAAAAAAATGCTTTCGACCTTAGCCAAAGAACAAATAAAAGGATCGGATTCATTAAATTTATCTATTTTTCCTCCCTTTTTGAAGAGTTTACACTCTTTTAAAAATTAATCTTATTTGTTTTGATAAACTATAATTTACGAAATTTTTCATTATGAACCTCCCATTTTTGTTGCAAGATGACAAACGCTTTTATTTAATTTCACAGAATCTTGGCAATGTTTCACAATTATCAGATCCAAGCAATATTTTCGGTTTATCTTTTAGCTTTGCCTTTGTTTATTTGTGGATTTGAAACTTCGACGTCAATCATCCATTCTTCTTTTATAAAAGTAAATTTATTCGCTTTACTCTAAATTATAGTGCTTGTCTCTCTCTCAATCTTATCCAAAAGGAGAAACTGAAGAAAATCTTCTCTTGTAAGCAATTGATTTGTAATGATAAACAATTTTTGTCTGGCTTCTTTATACATAATATATTTTTATATTACGTTTTAATGATTAATTCCAAGTGAAAGGGACTAATTATGTCTATATATATATATATATATATAATTTCGGCATCCAGTAATTGAATAATTGATCAGACACAAACGTCAAACTTTGGAGAGAATTTATGTTTATATCAAATTATTTAATATAAATATAAATTATCTCCAAATTTTTACGTTCACGTATAATNGATAATTATAAAGTCTATTATTAGATATAATCTGCCGAATGATTATGAGTATATTATATTAAATGTCATAGAATAACAATAATAAATAGACTGACTGCCGAGGTAGAATCGGTAACCGAACACGATTTAACTTAAGAATTACAGATCTTAAATTGAATTTCTTTTCTATTGCGAATATTAAAAACCACGTTAAAAGCAATCGAGAAAACTTTTAACGAATTCTACTTAAATCGGCAAGGTCAAAGTTTGAAATTTCGTGACTTCATAATTTAATTACTTAACTAAACCGATCAAATTTAAATATTTCATACGATTAACCATCGAATATAATTAAAGTATTAAGATAATTCTCTGATGCAAAACCTTTATAAGTGCATCCAGTGCATAAATTAACTGCTTTTAATTAATGATAAGTAATTCATTAAACAAGTTTCATGCACGGTTGTTTTATCTGAAAAGAGAAGGATTTAACTTTTGGTTTTGAGGATCAGAAAGTTGGATTTAATCATCATTGGAGAGAAATGTTAGAAAAACCTCAAATTCTCGGAGAAAGAAAGGGGGAAAAAAGTTCGACCACAGGATAAATGCGACCGAAAAGTTCTATAAGAAGAGAAAAGCTGACGAGGTCATTCCGCACTTTAACAGACAATCCCAGAACAGGGAAGAGAAGTCTCCAAGCCGATCAGAAAATCTCGAAAACCACCTGAGACACAGCTGCAGATATTTCTCAAGGTAGCTCTTTAGTCGAAAACCAACTAAAGACATCTTTAAGATCTCTGTTGATGAGATAGACACCATCAACTTTGACTTATTCTTTTTTTTTTCCTCTCTCGAATTGAAAAATGGTGGAAAATAAGAATTGTACCCGAATCGTTCTTCCGATAACGGAAAATATATAAATATATATGGGCCATATAGTGAAATGACTACAATTTCAATTTTTTGGAACTTTATAAAACATATTACTGTACAACATATTTACGATAAAATAATGACACTATTAAATATGATGGATCTAAATATTTTCGGGAATGAGAAAAACACAAGTCGAGAGAGAGAGAGAGAGAGAGAGAGAGAAAAACTCATAACT